GCTCCTGGTCACACCCTGGGGTCTGGGTCTAGGCCTGCACTCGAGTGGGCAGGGCCTGGGGCCCACACAGCACCATGGACAGCGGGAGACTCACGTCCATCTTGGAAACAAGTAGCAGCTGCTGTTTGATTCGCAGGAAGACAGAATCGAAAGCCAGTTGGTGGGCCTGCTGGTTAAGACGAGTGAGGGCCGCTCGCGATGAGGACAGGAGGTTATGATTGCTCGATCCTTTTTCCTGAAAAACAAAACGCAAAGGGGCCTGAATGTTAGCTAGGTAAACACTTTTGAAAAGACACTGAAAGACGAATCCAGCTCTCATTGCCCTTGAGCCAGGTCAGAGCTGACCCTCCAGCGAGTTTTCAAGGCTGTAGATTGCACAGGCATTTGACATATGGGTAACATTTGGCCAGCAGGCAACATCTGACACATAGGCAACACCATGATGGATGGAGAAGAGACTGAAACTGTCAACCACTTCATTTTACTTGGATCCACGATTAAAACCCTTGGTACCAGCAGTCAGGAGATCAGGAGATGCATTGCACTGGGAAAATCTGCAGTTAGGGACCTCTTCAAATTATCGAGGAGTCATAATGTCAGTTTAAGGACTAAGGTGTGTCTGATTAAGGCCATGGTCTTTAGGATTACTAGCTATGCATTTGAGACCTGGACAGTGAATGAGGATGACAGAAAAAGAATTGACATCTTTGGGCTGTGGTGTTGGAGAAGAGCACTGAACATCCCATGGCCGGCCAGGAGAATGAACAGATCTTGGAGGAATGAACAGGTCTTGGAGAGGATGTACTCTGGCAGCCAGAGTGCTCTCGGGAGGCAAGAATGATGAGGCTTTGCCTCACACACTAGGGGCATGTTGCTAGGAGGGGCTATTCCTTGGAGGAGGACACGATGCTGGGAAGGGTAGAGGGTCAGTGAAGGAGAGGAAGTCCCTCGACCAGGTGGAGTGACATGGTGACCGCTGCAATGGGCTCTAGTGTGTCAGGAAGAGTGAGGATGGCACAGGACAGGAAGGGGCTCAGATCTGTTGTTCACAGGGTTGCTATCTGTTGTACGTGACTCGACAGTACCTAACAACAACATATCAACAGATTGTACAGGTGTGGTTGCCTATGTTTCTCCATTAGAATGGCTGGTGAATTCAAACTGTGAGAAACTTGGCCTTGGGGTTCACAGTGCACCTCCCAAACTGCATGGAAGAAGACCCCATCCTTCCCCTGGGAAGCTACTGGTGGATTTGAGCTGTCAGAGACATACTGCCCCTTAGTTAGTTAGCAGTACAACTTCATGCTCAGAGCTTGAAAGAAAAAGTGAGGAGAAAACACACAACGGAAATTCAAACACTCATGGAATTAAGCCATGGAGACTTTGTGAACCCTCAAAACTACTGCCCTAAAAATAATCTGTAAGCCTTAAAAACCAAAAGTAGTCCCTGTAATCCTTTTAAAAACCAACAATAGTGTAGTATAGCTAGTAGAGAAGTCCACCTTGGACACTGTGCTTTTCTAAGCATTATCACTGTTGTTTGAGTAGCTGGTGGATTCGAAATGCCTTCAGGACTGCAGCAGTGCTGCTTCTTTTTTTTTTTCCCCAATAATTTTTTAAATTAATTTTAAAGAACGTTTACAGAGACTCTGGATTTCCATTCATTCATTGTTGCCCTTTTCTCCCTGCCCACCCCTCCCCACCAGTTCACTCTTCTCTTTGAAAAGTAAAATTCTTTCATAGGTATATACAATCCCCCCTCCCGCACTGAGTACACTCCACTATGCCACCTTCATTCTGGACTCTTGTCATAACCATAAAACCCAATCATATATCACTTTTAAACCCAATCATATATCACTTTTAAACTGTTCTCTTCCTCATCTGTTTCAATGCAGTATACATAATTTATCCAATTTTTCTCAGTCTCACCCCAACCCTGATGTCAGTCCTGTTTTACAACAGTGGCACCATGCAGTATTTGTCCTTTTGTGACTAAGATATTTCACTCAGCATAATGTCCTCCAGGGTCACCCATTTTGTATAATATTTCATGATTTCCTTGTCTTTTCAACGCAGTGTAGTATTCCATTGAGTGAATATACCAGAGCTTCTCTATACATTTGTTTGTTAATGGGCACTTAGGTTGTTTCCAACTCTTTACTATTGTGAACAAAGCCACAATAAACATGGGTGTGCATATATCTGTCTGGGTGACAGTTACAGTTTTTTTAAGGTAAATTCCCAGTAGAGGAATTGCTGGGTCAAATGGTATTTCTATGCAGCGCAGCTTCTTACCCACTAGGCCACAAGAGCTCCTGCAGCCATTAAAGGATTAGACTTTAAGAGGGCTGTGAGAACTGGGGAAACAGCTCAGGAAAGGAGGGTGATGATGGCTGGTATAGCCTGAAGAATGCCACCAATGTCACAGAATTACACATGACACTATCAATCTGGTGTATGCTTTGCTGGGCATATTCTCAAGAAGAACAAACAAATCTTTGGGGACAAAAGTGTGCACAGTTCTAGACAGGATTAGCCAGAAGTATTTTGGCTGTGCCCCCAAGCCCCCTGGGAAACGGGCTGGTCTACAGCCTCACAGCCGCCACCACAAGGCTGCAGCCCAGGCACCTGTACTTTTACTTCACTTTCCCAGGTGACTCTGATCCTTTCAGCCTAGTATGTACTCCAACTTGCACTTTAAGAGAAATTATTACAAATAATCAACGACCATCTCTTAGGGATCAAAGCTAAAAAGCATCCCTCTACCATCAGGTTGATTTCAACTCACAGCGATCCTACATGATAGACTGGAGGACGCCAAGGCTGGAAATCTGACAGGAGCAGATGGACTCAATAACAACCCCCCGCCCTCCCCCCACCCCCGAGCAAGTGGTGTTTGGAATCCTGGGGCCATTCTATTCACAGCTGAATGCTTCAACCAGTGTGCCACCAGAGCTCCTTAGGGAGTGAAAACTGTCATTGTTGTCCAGCCAGAACTGACTCATCGGAGGGCTCTGATGGCCTAGTGGCAAGAAGTTGCACTGCAATCCCAGAGGTGAGCGGTTCGAATCTACCAGATGCTCTGCTGGAGAAGGAGGGCCAATCTCAGTCAGATCCAATTTGACGGTAAACACACACACAAAAATAACAAAATAAATTTTAAAAAGAAAAGAACGGACTCATCGCCGACCCCCCAGCAGGTTTCTGGAGGCTGTAAACCACATGGGAGGAGAATGCCCAGCTTTCTCCCTCGGAGCAGTTGGTGGATCTGAATGGCCAGAGAGGTGTCACCTTTGGGTTGGCAGCACAGCTCCCTACAGACTGCACCAGTGGAGCTAAAAGAAGAGAGGGAAGATGAGGAGTTCCGAGTGCAGACAGAGTGACCGCTCAAGCCCTCACTCCTGGGAGGTCAGCTCAGGTATACTGGGCTGGAAGCCAGAGAATAGCCAACCGCTGCGAGTCCCAAGGCATTTCAGGCAGCCTGAGAAAATAGACGGAAAATGTAGCCTTCCTTTTGCTATTATACATGAACCGATTACAACAAACACATAAATCAGATCAGCAATAAAGATAAACAGAGTTGCTGTAGCCTAATCGCAAAAGCATGGATGAATGAACTCGGAGAATTGCTTTAGGAAATCTTGTCAGGCTCAAATGCAGCCGGTGGGGGGGACGCGGGCAGAGGATGGAGAAGACCCTGAGAGGGTGAGGCCAATACCCCTGACATGGACAGAGGACCACCTCCAGGTCACCACAGAGCTCTCTGGGTCTGTGCAGACCATCCAAGACCATGCTCGGTGCTGCAGACACAGCCTTACCTTCTCTTCAGTGGCCCCCACAGATGAGCCTTTAATCAGACCAGGGAGGGAGGGGAATGGTTCAGAAAAGGACCCTGGTGCCCTCGTGTGCCTTTGGCCATTCCACCTATTGCGAGATTCTGTTGTTCCTGGACCCAAAGGCGGTCCCACCAAAGTGCAAAGTCAAGAACCGCCTCATAACAGACTAAGCAAGGACTTGGATTCAAGAAATGGCTAGGGAGAAACACTTGTGCTCGTGTCCTCATGTTTCCATGTGGAAAACGGACTATCGAGCATAGATGAGCTGCACACCTGGCCGAGCTGCACACCTGACCAAACAGCACACCTGGCTGAGATGCACACCTGGCCGAGTAGTGTACCTCGTGGAGCAACTATCCCGGCTGAGCCTCACATCTTGCTGAGCTGCACACTTGGCCGAGGTCTGCTCCTGGTTTCTTTCTGCCCCTCACACCTCCAGGAAAGAAAAGTGACCTCCGTCTGCCAGGTTAGGTGTCCATCATTAACAATCCTGAACCCCTCCTGCCCTCAGTAAAAGGAGACTGTTCCCGCATGGCGGCAGAGGCTGGCTAGGTCTGCCCGTCCTGTTGACGACCTGAACTCAAGTAAAGCCCGTTTGGCTGAAGATCTGAAAGCACCACCAGGAACCCAGCTCTTGTCAGTCAAAGAGCTCCAGCTGCCCAGCTGCTAACTCACCTGAGTCTATCAGCTGCTCCAGCCTCACCATAAGGACAAGTGGTGACAACATGCACCAGGGCCTAAGAGCTGGGATCACAGAACTAGAGAGCAGCTTTCATTTGCAAGAACGCCCTCAGCAGGGTCTCCTACCTTGAGGGTATAGAGGACTTCCATCAAACTGGCATAGTCAGCAGAACTATCTTTCTGAAAGTAATTATATTCTTGCCATGGATTCTTGGCCGCGCTCTTCCTGTCTGTCAGGATGCTGTCCTGGAAACTGATGAGGCTCCGAGGGCAGTAGGAGTCAGGGAGGTACTTTCCAGCTGTGGACAGAATCCTGCAACGAAAGTGGTGGTGACCATTATGCAACCAAGATGCAGGCAACTTTCCTCTAAGAGCATTCAGAGAGCAACTTGTACAAAGCCCAGGATGGCCTCCTGAGGGCTGGCTGAGTCAACCAAGATCCATCTGATCAGGGAATGAAGATGTCATTTGTTTCCTATCTAGGAGTAAGGAGGAGGAGAGGTGTACTAGGACCCAGGAGATTTTTAGTTCCCTAAATAAAACACTGGTGGATTTGAACCACGTGCCTTCAGGGTTACAGCACAGCTTCTTACCACTAGGACACCAGAGCTCCCTGAAATAAAACCAGGATTCCCTCCCCATTTCCTGCATGAGTCACATCTGAGAAATATTATAATGTCTATCAATTATGGAAATTATTAAACAATATCATTAAGATCACATGCAAGCAGAAAACAGCTGAGAATCATTCAAAAACAGCTAGAACGCATAGATAGAGAACAGCCAGATATTCAAGCTAGATTTAGAAGAGGCCATGGCACCAGAGATACCACTGCTGATGTCAGATGGATCCTGGCCGAAAGCAAATACCAGAAGAATATCTATTTAGGTGTTACTGACTACGCAAAGGCATTTGACTGTGCAGATCATAATAAATTATGGCTACCATTGAGAAGAATCAGAATTCAAGAATTCCTGCTTATTCTTGTGTGAAACCTATACCTAGATCACGAGGCTGTTGTGTAAACAGGGCAAAGGAACACTGTGCGGTTTAAAATCAGGAAAGGTGCATCAGGGTTTATTCAAGAAGCTTCACTCTACAAAGAAAAATGTGGCATAAGGATTGGAGGAAGACTCAATAACCTTCATTATGCAGATGACACAACCTTGTTTGCTGAAAGTGAGGAGGACTTGAAGCACTTGCTGCACAAAAAGTGAAACACTGCAGCCTTCAATATGGAAAGACTGTCAACAACTTCACATTACCTGGATCCACTATCAACACAGTAAGTGTGTCAGATTGGAAGGATGGCACAAAATAGGACAGGGTTTAGATCTGCTATTCGTAGAGTTGTTAAGAGTCATTCTCAACTCAATGGCATCTAACAACAACATCATGTTTATCACTCCAGCTGTATGTCACCAGATAGCTGCACACACACCTAAATGCACAGAGTGGATGGTAAAACGGGAACACCGCTGGAGCCGAAGTTCAGCTAGGGTGTGCATCTTCCTAACATGGACAATCTATGCGAGCATGCTTCTCAGTTCACCCCAAGTTCAAATGCTCTGCTCTTTCTACAGAGGCCTTTCAGAGCATGTGAAAACCTCAGTTTGGAGTCTAGTACTATAGTGAGGGAGCTCCAGTGGCCTTGTAGCAAGGAGTTGTGCTGCCAACCCCAAGGTAAGTGGTTCAAATCCTCTGGCTGCAAAGCAGGAAAAAGATGGGCAATCCGTGCCTCTGAAAAGCCACCGGTGGGTCAGCTGTGAGTGGGTTCTGACTCAATGATACTTAACAACGCAGCAGTACCATGGTGAGCAAGCCAGCAGCACCTCCCTGGTGGCACACAGCAGCTCCCAGAGAGGATGGGGGGGCAGCTCAGCACACACGTCCTCCCACCGGCTATCCGGCTCCCATACCCAGGCTGTGAGGTGTGCGATCCTCAACAATGTGGTGTTTGCTCCGTGGTTTGGGTGCCACAGATGGGTAAGGGGGAGAAAGATGCACTTTCCAATCTCTTTGAAAGAGAAAAGCCTAGACGAGGGTCCATGTGGGGGTATCAATATTCTATGGCCAGTGGTCTTCCTCTTTTCCATTGACCCTATTTTACCATTCACTCCAAACATTTAAACCTTATGAGTAATCTGATTCATGTAACCAGGATGATAAAAGTTACATTATTTTCCAAACATGACTCACAGCTCTGACCCTTCATAAATTTTTATGCTGTGTTTGCTTTTTTAGAAACATATCCTATGAGACTGTCAAGGAAGATCCACGTATGCAAGCCAGTCCTGGGGAACAGAGCTTCCTCAGCTGTCACTGGTGACCCAGGGCCCCTGCCTCATTAGGTCCTGTTACAGCTCTTCCTGCAGCTGAAGCTTCTAGAAAGCAGGGGCTGGGTCTACTGTCACTAACGCAAAACTTCGCTGTGGTTTGTCTAGACCTACAGTAGCATCGCAACTGGTTACCCTCCCTCTGGTCCTTCCACAATTAACAGCATGACCTCTTTCAAAGGCAAATCTGATTTTCTTCCCACCTCTCCCTCCAGCCCCGATGATTCCTTAGCACCTTGTAAGAACTAATTCTGTGTGTCAAATAGGCTGGTTCTCAGTCTAATGTAACTAGTCTATGTATTTTAAATCTCCCATTTAAATAAAGGCTGACCTCTGTTAGGTTAATGACGCAGAATTCAAGGCAATTACATGATTAACCCAACTTGAGCCTGGGAACCTCCTTGGAGGTATGACCTCTGACAAAGCTATGGAGCTTTGGGCTTAGTATTACATCTGGTTGGCCACCTCTGGACTAGAACTAGTGCTCTGCTGTACCTCATGACCTCGGCCATGCCAATCTCTAAAACTAGCCTGCCTCTCTAAATGCCTTTCTCTTAAGGTCTGGACTATGGACCTAGGAATTGCCAAACTCTCTAAGCACATGAGACATTTCCTTGAAACCGCTTTCTCTGTTCCTCTGTATGTATGTATGTATATGTGTGTATACACACACACACACACACACACACACACACATAAATAGTCATATGTTGTTATGTGCCATCAAAGTGGAACCAAGCTGACCCTCCAGATGGTTTTCAAAGGTAGTGAGCCACATAGGTGGAGAATGCCCAATGTTCTCCCACAAAATACACACATACATATGTACACACACACACACACACACACACACACCCAGCATAGCTACATACAGATGTGCATACACACACAGCGCAGCTCTGGTGGCTTAGTGGTAAGGAGCTGTGCTGCCAACCCAAAGCATGTGGTTCCAATCCACCAGCAACTATTTGGGAAGAAGATGGGAAGTCTCCCATGTTAAAACTACAAACACGTGGATGTGGTACTCAAGGCCCTCCGGTGTTAGAATCTATCCTGAAAATATTCCCTCTCACTCCTGCCAGACTCCCAGCCCACCTCTCACGTGCTCTGTGCCTGCCCCCCTCCCATGCACTGAGCTTCCCTCCTCCCATGCGCTGTATGTGCCCCACTCCCGCATGCCGTGCCTGCCCCCCTCCCTCGCGCTGTACATGCCCCCCTCTTCCGCACGCCATGATCATACTGCTCCCTCTTCATGAATCGCTCTCCCTTCCCCCATGCTCTGGGAAACAGCCTTCTCCTAGAGGCTTCTCCACAAGGCATTCCATCTTTTGCTCCCATAAGCCTCTCCCTCTGTTGGGAATTCATTCCATGCTATCTCATTAATGCCTTTGGCTGCAAACCCAAAGGTGAGAGGTTTGAGACTATGGAACAAAGGCCTGGGGATCTACTTCCAAAAAACAGTCCTAGAAAACACCAACTTCCTTCTGGGTCGACTCTAACACACGTGACCCACAAAACCAACTGGCGTGTGAGATGGTGAAGGTCGGTTCTACACATTCTGCACGTGGTGGATGATTAATGACTCTTTGTAGAATGAGAGGAGACCCTGGATAAGGCGACCAGAAAGCTGAGAGCTGAGCTCTCCTCTGCCCTCTGGGAGGCCACTCTCCTTTCGGAACCTCTGCAGTTTGTGTCTCAGGCTCAGTCAGTGAGGGGCAAACTGGCCTCGCTGCAGCAGCTCACCATCCAGGTGGAAGGAGAACAGATGACGTTTGTTGTTGTTGTTGTTGTTAGAGGCCATAGAGTCAACCTGACGGGTGTCAACCCTACAAACAACAGGTCTGAGCCTCGCCCGATCCTCACTCTCAATGCCTGACACGCTCAAGCTCCGTGTTAGTCACTGTGTCAGTCTCTGCTATGGACGGTCTTCCTCTCCTGCCCTGACCTTCCACCTTTCCCAGCATGATGACTTCTTCCAGGTCATGTGAGACGGGCTTTCAGCACCCCAGCCTCTAAGGAGCACCTCAGCTGCCCTTCCTCCCAGACAGACGTGTTTGTTCCGCTGGCAGTGCATGCAATATTGAGCGCCCTTAGATAAGTCAGGAAGATTTTAACTAGCAAAGATTATAGTTAAAATTTTCAGGATCAAGACAGCCTTAGCCCCAAAACACTAATCTCTTTTTCTTTAATCCTTTTCCTCAACACCATTTAGATTATTTAACTCTTAGCATCTCATTTCTTTTCTATGTATTGTTAAGCAAACCTTAGTGAAATGAACTCTTTGTTCCTTTAGTCCTCAAAATAACATCAGCTCATGGTAAGTACATCCATGGGGCTATCTTCTCACTAGCTTTTGGTGCTATTAGGTGATTAAACACCATTTCTGCCCTCAAGAGGCTCAGAGGTTAACAGAAGAGCTGGACAGGTGAACACAGGAGACATCATAGGACAAACGTGCTCACTGCCACAAGAGAGGAACACAGGAAGGATGTACAAAGGAGGGGTGACTAACATTTCTTTTCCAGCCATTTTCCCTAATTCATTTCCTCTTTATAAAGAATTCTTTCCCAATCTTCAGTCGTGAAAGTCTGTAAGCGTATGTTGCATTACCAAACCTGACTGTCCCGTTGCTTTGTCCCACAAAGATCTTATCCTGGGGGAAATATCATGGTCTCAAAATTAAGCAAGAGACACCAGGGAGGCTGAGAAGAGAAGCAATCTCCCTGTATGCTCCCCAAAGTTCCAGTCCAGGAGAAACCCTTCAGGGGACTCCTGGCTCAGCTCAGAGAGCACAAGATGACCCTCAATGCGAGGAGGTGACCCTGAGAGTCCCTACCCACTGTCACCCTATCACTGAAACACACCTGAGACTATTCCCAGCCACGGCTCGGCCACCCGTGGGAGAGGTCCCTCGTGAGAAACTGAGTTCTGCAGGTGAGATTGTCGTGGAGATAAGATAAGCTTTAGAGGCCCCACCACACGCTGCACGGCCTCCTTCATGGAGCACAGATGGTGACCAGGGCGTCCTTCCTGCTCTAAGCTCAGTGACCAGGATGAGGTCACCTCTTTACGAGGCTCTGGCAGCTACACCCAGTCTGTTTGCTAGCCAGTGCTGCTGCTCAGACCCAACTTTAACCTCTCAGGGCTGCAAAATGCTATTCCAGGGGCTCCCCCTTCCACATTCTCCTAACCAGGCCTCTCTGTGCTCCTTGGGACAGAATATCTGCCTTCAATGAAGGTCTATGTCCAAACACAGTGAAGGTAAATGTAAAATGGCAAGGTGTAGAAGAAGAATAATAATGTATTGCTGTTTTTAAATGTGCAATATAAAAGCATGAAATAGAAAGGGGTCAACCTAGGATAATAAGGCCCCAGCAAGGCAGACCCCAGGTGCCGTCAGAGCATATAAAGGGGGCAGGATGGACGTCTCCAGGGTCTCCACTGCAGACTCCCCTTTGATGCACACCCACTGTGGCAGTACAGAATCCCGGTCAAGAACCCACAAGGCTGACTGGCTGGGTTAATCTCGATTCTGTAGGCTGGCCAGACTTCCCCACCATTCGTCACACTGGTTTCTATCAGAAAATTTACTCTTCGTCTCAATAGCTGACTTACAAATAAGAGCCATCGGAGCCCAGCCCACTCAGAATGCAGAGACAGCCTGTACTGTTTCCTCATGTGGGCTAAGCCTCCATCTCCGATCAAGGCTACGTCTGATCACCGCCAAGCTGGACGGAGTCATGTCCTTTAAGGTGCTCAATAAACGCTGACTGATGACAAGCAAGACAACTTGTACGTAGGTACAGACTGTCCCCAAGTCCTGTGGCTGTCATGTCTGACCACGTGCTGTGCTTGCTGTGACGTGTACTGTATCAAGTTCCTGCCCAAACAAGAGCCTGGGGACGACGGAGTGACAGCTCCCTCACCTACCTGTTTGCCAGCTGCTGCTCGAAGTCCCCACACTGCCGTAAGAGCTCTCCACAGGTGGCTATTATCCTAAACAAAACAGAGGGGGAAAAAATTTCAGAAAAAGTGTCTAGGATGTGGACACGTCCAGGACATTTCCTCAATCATCAAAATGGTGACTCTTCACCCCGTTCTGGTGGCGCTGGCTTCTGGGCAGGCAGTTATCATTTGATGGCCAATTAGAGAAGTTATGTTCATTAGTCAGTGATGCAGGAATTAAATCCTAGTCCCTTTGAAGGGAGATCTGGGGACATAGATTGCGTCAGCTGTACTGTTAATCCAGAGGTCATGCATGGCTGGTGAATTCGCACCACCAGAATTCACCAGCCACTTAAAGAGGGAAAGATGGCTTATATCCCCCCACTGATTTACACTCTGGTAAACCTGCTGGAGGGTCAGTCATCAGCAGGTTCCGACATGAAGGCAAAGAGTTTGAGGGGGTTATTCGTTCGAATTCCTTCTCACATCAACAATTTCATTTTCTTTGGATCCACAATCAATATACATGGCGACAAGAGCCAAGAAACCAAAAGATGTGTTCCGCTGGGGAAATCTGCTGTCAAGAACCTCTCCAAAGTGCTAAAGAGCAAGGATGTCTGTTTATAAAGTCGAGGCAGCAACTGCTCCAAGCCATGGTATTTTCAACAGCCTCCTACGCATCTGAAAGTTGGACAATGAATGAGGATGACTGAAGAATGGATGCTTCTGAACTGTGGTGCTGGAGAAGAGTACTGAATATCCCATGTACAGAACATGCAAATCTATCCTGGAGGAAGTTCTGTGGAGGCAAGGATGGCGGAACTTGGGGTGACAGACTTCGAGCATGTCGTCAGGAGGGGCTAGTCCTTGGAACAGGATGTACTGAGAGAAGTGGAGAGTCAGAGGAAGAGAGGAGGAAACTCTACAAGATGACTGGACACGGAGTCTGCAACAATCATCTCAAGCATGCCGGGCACCATGAAGATGGCACAAGACGGGACAAGGTAGAGATCTGTTGTTCACAGAGTTGCTCTGAGTCACAGTCAACTCGATGGCACCTAACAACAACAACAACAACAACAACAACAACAACAACTAACTTCCAAGTCACAGGTTTCTCTGACATGAATCACAGTTCTATTGGTGAGAGCTCAAGTAAATGCATATTTCCAAAATACCAAGGTCCTTTTAGACTTTATCTTTGAGAGAAGGGTTATAAATCCTTGGTATAGAAACATTTTTCTTAAATTGTTTTTTATTTTATTCTGATTCATTTACAAAGTTTGAATACATAGTTTTTCACAAAAGATCCTTCCCATTTCCTTCACCCCACCCACCCATCAATTGTTCAACCCCATGATAAACACCCTAGGGATATAAACATCTTTAAATCAAAACTCATCCTTTAATATGCTAGATGACCTGCTACCTGCACGATACAGATGGGACAACTGTTTTGATATGAGAATATCTCTCTGGTCACATGAAGAACAGACGAAGGTTAATCCATTTGTTTCTCAAAGGTAAGCCTGAATGATCATCAGATCTGTGTTTAATAATCCTTTGAGTTTTCAAGTAATTTTATGCCTGCTCTTAAACTCCAGAGGCTGAGTCCTTTAGCACCAAGCTCATAATGCCAGGACAAATCCAAAGATTAAAAATATCTTCCATCTAGTTAATTTTTAACTTTTCTCTAAAAGTGGCTATCATCACCAGGCTATCTGGGAATTCCACCACAGGCAAGGTTTATAAGAAAATAAAACAGTCTGCTTGCCTCGGGTGCAACAGAACCTCCTTGAACATATTTCCTATATTCCAGCCCACCACAAATGAAAGGGGGTAAAGCTGGCATCTGGAACATTGTTGTTGTTGCTGTGGTGTGCCATCAATCCAGAACTGACCCAAAGCTGACCCTCAAGCAGGTTTTCAGAGGCTGTAAACTGCACAGGAAGAGACTTCCCATTTTTCTCCTACAGAGCAGTTCAAGCATTCGAACTATGGACCTTTAGGATAGCAGTGTGGGTTCTTACCACTAGGTCACCAGAACTCCCTTCTGGAGTGCTACATTTTGGTGAGATTTTTTTTATTAATTGGGAAGGGGGAAAAAAGTCAGCAACAACAACCAAAAAATTAATAAATATGTGTAGTTATATTTAAAAAGTAAATATGTCATTTTGAGGACTAACATGCACCTAATCCAAGCCATACTCTTTTCAATCTCCCTACAGGTATGTGAAAGTTAGACAATGAATACACAGAAAACCAAAGAAGAATTGATACTTTTAAATGGTGGTGCTAGTGAAGAATACTAACACATCCTGGACAGCCAGAAGAACCAAGAAATCGTCCTTGGAAAATACAGTACTAGCATGCCCCTTAGACGTGCAGAGGACATCATGCTTGGCAAAGAAGAGGGTCAGAGGGAAGAGGGAGGCCCTCAGGGAGCCTGACCAATGGCTACAGCATGGGCTCAAATACAGCACCAACTGTGAGGATGGTGCAGGATCGGAGAACGCTTCATTCTATTCTAAATGGGGCACCAGGAATCGGAACCACCTCAATGGAACTTAACAGCAACGATGTGTAGTTACATAAGTCTATGTCCCTAGTGGCACATGTACTCACACCAGGAAGTTCACCTCAAAGCCTTTCACTCAGTTCTCACATGGCCTTTTGCAGGTCTTCTAAGCCATAGTCCACAAAAGCTATTTCTAAGAGTGACCATCAATAGTCAGCTGGGAAAATCACCTCAAAGCCTTTCACTCAGTTCTCACATGGCCCTTTGCAGGCCATCTAATGTAGCCTTGCCATTTAGTATCTTGGTTCTTAGATCCAGAAACAGAATCCAGTCAGCTGAGCACTCTCAAAAATGAAAGCTCTAAATTACTTTAGGTCTGCAAAAACCACAAGGCTAAGTGGGAAAAGAAATCTCAGGCCAAATATAAAACATTTAAGCCACCAAAGAAAAGTTCAATTTTTTTTTTACAACTTTTTAAAGCATTTTAAGAATTATAAAGAGACGTGCTCGCTTCAGCAGCACATATACTAAAATTGAAACAATACAGCGAAGACTAGCAAGGCCCCTGTTCAAGGACGACACGCAAATTCATGAAGCGTTCCATATTTTTTAGGACAAATACTGCATAGTGCCACTGTTGTAAAACAGGACTGACATCAGGGTTGGGGGGAAACTAAGAAAAGAGGGGATAAATAATGCATGCTGCATTGAAACAGATGAGAGAGAGAACTGTTTAGGAGGAATATATGATTAGGTATTAATGTCATGACAAGAGTCCAGAATGAAAGCTGCATAATGGAGTGGACTGGGGAGGAGCGGATGGTATAACAATGAAAGATTTTTTTAAATTTTTTTTTTTTTTTACTTTTCAAAGAGAAAAGTGAACTGGAGGGGAGGGGTGGGGTGGGCAGGAAGAAAAGTGCAACAAAGAATGAATGGAAATCCAAAGTCTCTGTAAACCTTCATTAAAATTAATAATAATGAAAAAAAGAATTCTAGGAGTCTTCTTAATGTTGAGCAGCCCTGGTGCATAAGAGGTTAAGGGTTGGGCTCCTCACTGAAAGGTTGACAGTTCAAATCCACCAGCTGTTTTTTGGCAGACAGACAAGGTACTGTCCTTCCATTAAAATTTACAGCCTCATACACAGAGAATGAATCTACTATGGTTCTGGAGAAGGAAGGGAGGATAGAAAATTAAAGGAGAGGAGCAAGCCAGCAGTGAGAGGCAGAGAGATCTTCTGGTGCCACTGAACAAGAAGCGAGAGAATGTGAGATGCCCTTCTTGCTCCAGCTACACCTACAGCATCAACATCCACAGCCAAACTAGAGATGTGATGTGAGACAGGACCTTGAGGGTGAGGGGAAGAGCCACTATATTGGCAAGACTGAGAACTTGGCTGGACAACGGGAGGTGGGAAGCCAATATTGGCAGGATTGAGAACCTGAGAACTCAGGAGCCAGAAGTCACAAGGCTCAAAGCTAAGGGACCTGTATGCACATTTCGGGAGCTGTCTGGACTGTATTCTATTAATCTGGATTACAACCTTTTGACTTTTCTGCCCCATACACATTAATAAGAAAATTAAGGAATAGACAACACTTCTTTGGAATAAAGGAAAGACAATGTGGAAGGAATGGATGAACAAGATATGTGTGACTGATCGGCTGAAAGAAAAAATATCTAAAGAAAAGTTTACACATCGAGAGAAACAACCATGGAGGGTTGACAAGAATGGGGAGGGAGGGAGAGCACAGCAGAGATTAGTGGATGTATGGGATGGGTGAAGGGAAATGGGAGGCACAGTAAGGATTTGATGAGGCATTATAATAAATGGCATCAATCAACTCTAATTAATGTTACAAAGCAAATGTGTATGAATGACTGGCTGAGAATGGATTAAAAACATTACAGCCTCACAGCCCCATGGTGTTTCATCAAAATTTGGAATCAGTTTGGCAGCAGTGGCTTTGGTTGCTGGTGTTAGCTGCTTGGTGTTGGGGTTTAGTGTACTGGCCTATTATTAGAGTACCTGCTTTTTAAAAAAAAAATCCCCAAAAAAAATTAAATTAAAAAAATCCACTAATGTTATTAAATTGTATATATAAAAATGGTTGCAATGGTAAACCTTATATAGTTATATACATTTTACCACAATAAAAAAAATATTTTAAAGCCTAAAGTGAAGGGGGAAAGTGAACCCCTGTGAATAAACACATGTACCATCTTTATGTAATATGTTACGACGCACGCTGGTGTTGGTTTAAACAATAAGCTCCACCTTACCTAACGGAGTTCTGAAAAGCTGACCAATCTTCTTGAAAAAGGGAGTTGGGAGCAATGTCATCCAGCTTGCACTTCTTTCGTATTGACTGGAGCGTACTGGAGAAATCGGACACATACCTGTGAAGACAAAAAGGCCAGGACTGTCATCATAGATGCCTTAAAACTAAGGACACCTGGAAATTACACAACTCTGGACAAACTGCTAATATAACCTTGAGAATCTTTAAAGGCTTTTATCAAGGAGTCAAACTACTTGTAAAACTATAACCACACAAAAATCTTTTCTCTGTCTGGCAAGACTATCTATTCGTCTCTAGAATAGCTTTGAGAAAGATGCTCAACTGAAACGGAAAAGAAGCCACAGAATCTACTCTAGTGACAGAGAGGGTGGGAGAGGATGCTGGTAAATGACCCCTTGTTTTAATAATTTTTTTTTTCAGAAACAGGTTCAAAAAAGTATTTTAAAACCTCACACTCTTGTACTAATATCCACCTGTCACTGTGGATGTTGTAAAGCAGTCATTGACATTCAGGGTATTTTTGCAACATCTGGACCTCTGGATTAACAGATTCCATGGCAGGTAAACTTTCATGCCAACTTTCATGGCACATGAGCACAAACCTGGAATCAAGGCCAGGTGACCCTGCCTCACACAGACTGTTACTGCATACACTTTTCCTTCACAGCACCTACATAGGTTAATGTATTTGTTTCATGTTTATTGTCACTGGCAGTCTGTAAGCTCTAGGACAAGAGGGTTGTGTTTGTAGAGCTTATTACTGCATCCCTAGAACTTAGCATAGGGTTTACTTAACAAAAGTAATAAGCATTTGCTGATGGCTTGTCTGTTATTTGCTTATGACATGTACAAATAGATCCTGAATGAATGAAAGACTTGCACTGCAGCCTTGGGCAGTTAGCGAGCTCTCGGTCTCAGTTTCCTCAGCTTTGAAATGGAGTTAATAACATCTTCTCTATGGCCTCACAGTGGTGGTGGTGTGATGGCAGAATTAGACAGATGAAGCAAAAGACATACAAATGCCCTATTAAGTATAAAGTGAATGCTAGAATGGAGAGATACTGTTTTTTAAAAGAACTTTTCCTTTTTTTTTCAGCAGAAAACCAAACTTAGATTTAACTTTTTTATTTGAATATGCTGATTGGATCTTGTATGTTCACAGCATAAGGAGCTCTGTTGGCATGCTGCATTACTTCTTATTATTATTATTAAGATTTTAATGAAAGTTTACAGAGAACTTGGGTTTCTATTCATTCCCTGTTGACACATTTTCCTCCCTACTCCCTCACCCAGTTTGCTTTTTTAAAAAAAAAAATTCTTTGGGGGGAGCTCTGGTGGCCTAGTGGCAAGAAGCTGCACTGTAATCCCAGAGGCACACGGTTCGAATCCACCAGGTGCTCTGCCGGGAAAGGAGGGACAATCTCCTCCTGTACCAGTCAGATCTGATTTGATGGTACACAGACACACAAAATAATAATAAAATTTTTAAAAAATTCTTTGAAAGGGAGCTCTAGTGGCCTCATAGTTAAGAAGCTACACTGCCAACCCAAAAGCAGGCAGTTCGAATCCACCAGCTGCTCCACAGAGGAAAGCTCGGCAGTCTCTTCCTGTGTGATTTACTGCCTTCGAAAACACACTGGACAGGCAGCTATGTGTCCGTTCTGACTCTATGCTGCACAACAAGTTCTTGAATGATGAACATATAAGTGCACATCTCCCGAGACTGAGAGATATTATTGGTGAGGAGGATTAAAGTGGAAATTATATTCTCAGAAAGCCAAGAAGCTCCCTGGACACCTATGACACAAGAAGTCCTTCCTCTCTCCCTTCCCAAATCACAGCGTCACAGAAGAAAGGGGAAAGGATGTCCCGTGGCCTGGCCCTGAGGAGAAGGTCTGTGCAGTGGAGAGAAAGGCCACTCAAAATACCAAGTGGAAGCAACGGCCGCAGGCCGCTCCAGAATCTACACACCCTGCTGCAGCTCCTTACAAAGTCCTGCATGGCTTTCAGGTTAAGAGCTACGCAATCACATTTCTCCCGAGAGCACAAGAGAGGGAGGGAGGCTGCTTTCTTGGAGAGACAGTCCCTGCGAAGGGCAGGGGCTGGGTCTCAAGGACGCATTACAGAGGAAAGTTAGCATGGTTGTGCTTCAGCTATAGGAGGTTAGGCAGCCGGGCCACCGTCCAGCAGCTATGAGAGGTATCTGTCTATGCCCGCCGCCTAATCTCGTTTTACAGAAGTCCTGAGACAGTGATCGCTCAGAAGGGGCAGGTCTAACCAGATTCCCAGGCACAGCCATAAGCAAATGCTCCTTTATTTGCCATTATCCTTCATTTCAGGATTCCAAATGGATCATGAAATCCTACAACAAAGTGTAGCCCATTTTTGTACGAGGACCATCTAATTCTCACAAAAGATACTTCCAAATACTTATCAGGTGAGAAAGGGACCGTGGTGGTGCAGTCAGTGGCCCAGTGCTCGAGTGCTAACCATGAGGTCAACGGTTTGAACCTATGAACCACCCTGGAAACCCTATGGGTCAGTTCTGTTCTGTCCCAGGCAGCAGCTCTGAGTCAGAACAGACTTGCCAGACAGGATCGTTTAGATCACAGGAGGGTCACTTGCTTGGCGCTCTCATGTCACTGTTAATTTTATCAACCCCTGTGGAAGAGATCCATCTCCAGTTTACACAGACACCAAGACTCAGGGGAGCTCACTCACCTGTGCAAGGTGCCAACCAGCAAGTGTCAGAGCCGGGATTTGAGCCTGGGCTCCAGAACCCACTTCCCAATCATAACTTTAAGATCCCTAATTCTCTAACCACCTGGGTAGCTATTACATTCAACAGTTCACCCTAGCCTGAATTAGGCCAGCCTAACACAGGAGAGGAAGACCCCAGACGAGATGCGATTGATACAGTAATTAGGGCAATGGGGGTCGGTGTGTCAGAATTAGTGAGACTGGCTCAGGACACGGCAGGCTTCAGAGATGCTGTACATACATAGGGTCACTATGGGTCACAGGTGACTCAAGGGCACATAGCAACAAGAACAACTTTTGCCTTTTATGTCTGTTCCATTCTCCCTACCTCTGCCATCTTTTAGGACCTTCTTTCAACCCTCCTCACTACTGAGCAATGTCCCATTTCAATCCTGCTCAAGTTAGTTTCGTAGTAATTCCCCGGACTAGTTTTATAGCCTTCAGCATGGATTATATTTCAACATTAAGAAAACAAAAACCCTCACAAGCAGCCTCACCTCTCTCTCAGCCAATCAACAACATCATGATGAATTAAGAATACAGGGAGCTCTGGTGGTCTAGTGGCAAGACGCTGCACTGCAATCCCAGAGGTACGCAGTTCAAATCCACCAGATGCTCTGCTGGAGAAGGAGGGGGCAATCTCCTCCTGTACCAGTCAGATCTGATTTGACGGTACACGTAAAAATAATACAATAAAAGAAATACATGGAAGTTGTCATGAATTTCATTTTACTGTGATCCACATTCAATACTTACTGTGATCCATAATCAATGCTCATAAAGCAACAGGCAAGACATCAATTGCATTGGGGCAGATTTGATACCAAGGACCTCTTTAAAGTGCTAAAAAAAACCAAGAATGTCCAAACCTGAAGACCAAGGTATATCAAGCCATGGGGGCTTCGTATATGTGAAAGCTGCACAATGAATAAGGAAGATCAAAGAATCGATGCCTTTGGATTAGGATGTTAGTGAAAAACACTATGGATTGTAAAAGACACAACTGTGTCTTAGAAGAAAACACAGCCAGAGCTCCTTAAATATTTATTCTCTGGCCTTTTCAGAAAAAGTCTGCCAAATCTTGTTTCAGAAAATACATGCTATTTTTGGTATGTCCTTTTTATATACATTTACTCCTATTAAGATTACAGCCTCAGGAAGCAGACAGAGGGTTGCCTTGAGTCAGAACTGACTCAACATTAGGTTTTGGTTGGTTTTTTAAAAAATTCTCTAAATTTTATACTGGTTTATTTACGAACTTCAAATACATTGTTTTTCACACTGGATGTTTCCCATTTCCTCCACTACCGCCACTCATCAAACTGTGCGACCCTATAATTAAACCCCTCCCCCCCATCACCCATCCTCACCCCTCTGCTTCACCCCTCCCCCTAGGATTCTCATACTCACTGTATAACAACATTAGGGTTTTTTAAAAATACATTTTTTTAAAATTTTATTATTTTGTGTGTGTGTGCCATCAAATTGGACATGACTGGTAGAGGAGGAGATTGCCCCTTCTTCTCCAGCAGAGCATCCGGTCAATTTGAACCGTGTACCTCTGGGACTGCAGTACATTAATACATATTTTTTATATTTAGATATTTTTTTTCCAATGCCAACAAGTAAAAAGCAACTCATAGTGACCCTGTGGGCCGGAGTAGAATTGCCTCAATGGGACTTCCAAGGCTGTAAACCTTTGCAGAAGTATATTAGCACATGTTTCTCCCATGGAGGAGTCAGTGTATTTGAACTACCAACCTTTCGGCTAGCAGAGTAGTGCTTAACCACTGTGCAACCAGGGACTCTATATATTATTCTACAATCTGCAGGTTTTTTCTCAGTTAATGATACGTTTTTAGATCTTCCCTGTTGATAGGTTAGATCTAGCTAATACTACTACTGGCACTAGTATTACCAGTGCGTAAGCCTCCTTTGTATGAATGTACTCTATCTTATGTAGCCATTGTCTAATAATCAGTGGCCATTCTGGTTGTTTCCAGTGTTTCACCATTACAAACATGTTTCACCCAATGTCCTGGAGAGTGCCACCTGGCTGGGTTGAGGTGCGAAGCGGGACACTGACCACCACCTGCGCCCTTAATTAAGCAGACACTGTCCTCCAATGCAATAAGCCCCATCCCAACCTCTGAAGACTTACTTGGCAAAGAGAGATTTCAGGGCTGTTAGCAGGCCGCAGATCCCCAGGCCATTAGTGAATCGGATGCATCTGTCGATGGCTGAGGCCGCGAGGCCAAAGAGCTTGCACACGGAGTGGCTCAGCTCCTGGACACAGTCAATCACCTCTCCATGTTCCTGGTCAACAAACACACACAGAAGCTGCATCAGACCAAGGAACGTCTGAACAGACAGCATCAAGAGGTGGGGGAGACAGTCAGGCTGCAATGGGCACAATCATTTAATAAAGAAACAAACACACACAAGAACTATAGTCACAAACTGTGACACCTTGACAGCTCTCAGAAAGCCTGATCCAGAGTCTATGTGGTCAGGGAGATGAGAGAATATAACCCATAGTAGCTAAGCAAACCATATCCTAACCTTCACAGTATATTTGTCATTTCTTTCCTCTTTTCCTGTCATTATCAAGGGCATTTTGCTTTTGAGTGAGGATTCAAATTTTCCTCATCAGACACTTGCAAAGAATGTAGTGAAAGTTAAATGGAACAGAGTGCCACAAACTCTGGAGGGACATTACTCGAGAAACAGCCGTAACTCCTGAGGAGCAATTCTGAAAAGTTAATTCATTTCATGACAGAGGAAAACTTAGATGAGCTGAAAACAAACTACTGTTTGACAGTGAAGTGACTTCTGTTCTCCCCATGAATCATGTGTGTCTCTCTGCCCGTGAACCTGTCCTTCAGCAGTGCTTGTGTAAGATCCATGACAAGTCGTGACCTCCTTTAAAGGAAAGCCTGCTTTAACAGAAATAAGCTAGACCAGGGAGCTGATCAAGTGATCTCCCGAAGACTTAATCCTCTCTTTCTACCAGAGCTTTATTGGGAATTATAAACAGAAACTTCATAACATTTTTGTTGTCTCATTTTACATTTGGATTACAAGAGTCTAGGGGGAAAAACTCGAGCCTATTGATTATAATTTTTTTTTCTACATCTGAACCAAGTTTCTCCTTGGAGGCTAGGATTTTGAAGCTCCGTCTCACATACTTTGGGGACGTGGCCAGAAGAGACCAGTCCTTAGAGAAGGACATCATGCTGGAAGGGTGGTGGGATAGTGCAGGAGAGGAAGACCTCAGATGAGATGGACTGATAAGAGTAAACTGGGGTAATAGGGGTAGGTGTGTCAGAATCAGTGAGATTGGCTCAGGGCAGGGCAGGCTTCAGAGCTGTTGTACACAGGGTCACTTTGGGTTGCAGGTGATTCGATGGCACATAAAAACAATAACATCTGAACCCACTTCATTAATTCTCCAGTGTATCTGACTCCCAAACCTCTGAGTCTCAACTTCTGACAAGGAGAGAATGAACCTAAACAGTCTATGACAATAGACGACATTACCAATGGCACCATGCTGATCTGAATGAGGAGGTTCTTCTCTTCCATGTCACCATACTTCAGCTGGTAGGGTTTGTATGGACCATACACAACTTCCACCAGTTCCATGACTTTCACCAGGTTGGGTTCATCTTTAAAAAATAAGAAATTAAAGACAATGAACAAACAACCTACAACCAAAGGCTGGAGAAGAACAGAGGCCAGCGACCTGGCCCATACATCTCCTGTGTCCCATCTCTAGAGGTAACTACATTCTGTTAATTTATTGTTGTCGTTAGCTGCATGACTCGTAGTGACCCTATGAACAAAAGATCTGCAGCCTGTTCTATCCTGCACCATCCTCACATTTCCTGACACACAAGAGCCCATTGAAGCGGTCACTGTAATCTATTAGGACTGAATTATGTCCACCAAAACCACATGTTGTAAATCCCAATCTCTATGCCTGTGGTTGTAATCCCATTTGGGAATGGGTTGTCTTTTTGGACAGGATTATGTGAATGGGGAGGGATTATGGCAACGAGGCAGGATTAAGGTTCTCTTTTGAGAAATGAAATAAGGGAGTACAGTGGAGATGCGGGAAGACAGAAGCCAAGTGTGAGGGAGATTATCCACCCAGGAGTAGAAGCGTAAGGAGACAATGACCTTCGCCCAGAGCCAACAGAGGCAGGGAAGGGGGACGGGGCACTTCCCTTCAAGCAGGCTGCCTAAATTTGGACTTCTAGCTTCCTAGTCTGTGACAAAACAAATGTCTATTAAAGTCATCTCCTTGTTATATGCTATTTCTATAATCAGACTAGAAAATGAAGATAATCTTCTATCTTTCATGGACTTCAACAGTCACTTGAGTCAATGTTTTAATCGGTCTGTGCTCTGTGCATTTACTTATCTAAAGCACCGCTGAAGGCCTCAACCCCCTGAGCACCACAAATAATGTCTCAGACCCTCTTCAGGAGGCGAACACCACAGTCTCATGGGACATCGTGGCTATTGGCATAATATAGTATGTATTATGTTAATATAATATAAAACATGCTTGACATCCTGGTTTGGTGAGTTGTGTCTGGAGTCTGAAAAGCTTGCAAGCAGCCACCTAAGATACACCTTTATCTGCTCCTCAATTACAGACGACCTCATTAATTGACAGCTCACGTTGATGACAGTGAAAAATCTCCTTTCTGATTATTTTGTGCATTAACAATGTACACATGATGGTAGGGGATGCCCAGGTGCACAGCAAGAGTAACACTGGCTGTGATGGTTTGGGGTATGTGTCCCCTTTTTTGGTAGTTTGGCAGTTGTGAAATAATGTCATTTGAAAGTTATATAACAATATAGTCCTCCTCCAGCAGTTTGTGATGTGATATGAGCATCCTCCATTTTTTACACAATGACGATTTTTCACACTATGACCTGGTCTTGGAAACTTAATAATGTTATTAAGTCAGAATGGGTATGCTGCCTTCTTCCTATCTAGAGCAAAGGAGAGTGAAGGAAATAAAAGACTAGAGAAAGAAATCAGTCTATGAGACTAATTGCCAATGTGTTGTGTTGAGAAAATCTACTGTTAAGGAATCTCTTTGAAGGGCTAAAGAGCAAGGATGTCAGTTTAAAGGCTAAGGTGTACCTGATCCAAACCATAGTCTTTTCAGTGATTTCCTATGCATCTGAAAGCTGGACAATGAATAAGGAGGACCAAAGTTGAACTGACACTTTTGAGTTCTGATGTTGGAGAAGGGTACTGAATATCCCCAAACTTCCAAAAGAATAAATAAGTCTATCTTAGAGAATGTGCCACCAGGGTGCTATTAAGAGCGAAGGACAATGATACTTTACTTTAGACATGTCATCAGGAGGGGCCAGAACTTGGAAAAAGATATCCTGCTGAGAAAGAACAGAAGACCCTCAACAACATGGTCTGACACATTAACGACCACAATGGGCTTCAGAGGGACAGAGAATGGGAGGACAGTGTGGGACAATGAAATGTTCAGATCTGTGGCTCCCAGGATGGCTATGAGTCGGGGTCAATGTGATGGCACAACAGCAACATCTACCCAGAGAGCAGGAAAACTAGATGGTGCCCTGCTACCACAACCAAATACTGTCAGAGGGTCACGACAGATGGACCCTGACACAATGGGGACAAGACAGGAAACAAGACCTCAGTCCTTTAAAAATTATAAGAAGAAAGTAACTTTTTAAGAAAATACAAAGAAAGAAACAGACCTTCTGACCCAGCTGAGACGGGAAGACTCACTGGGACTACTGCCCTAAGATAGTCTTCAAATCCTAAATGGAAACAGATCCTGGAGGCCACTTGATAACTACAATGGAAACTGCTAACAAACACATACCGCTCAGAAGCACTACACCCCTTTAAAAGATCACCTACATGAGACCAACCAGTCCACTATTACTTTAAAACACAAATGTAAAGAGGCACATGAACTAGATTAATGGAAACAGAACAACTAGAATGGAAATAAGAGGATGGTCCTGAAGGATGATTAATGTCATCAATGCCACTGGAACAGCATGTGCTGAAATGTTGAACAGGAATGTAAACTGCCGTGTAAACCTTCACCCAAACCACAATAACATGTTATCTTAAAAGTTAAATAATCTCTTCATGGAGCTCTGGTGGCCTACTGGCAAAAAGCTGCACTGCAATCCCAGAGGCACACGGTTCGAATCCACCAGATGCTCTGCTGGAGAAAGAGGGACAATGTCCTCCTCCTCCTGTACCAGTTAGATTTGATTTGATGGTACACACACAAGAGATAATAAAATAAAATTTTTAAAAATTAAATAATCTCTTCAAAGATCATTTTCATCTGGAAAATTTTAGGAAGGTAACATTTTTTTTCCATAAAAACACACCTACGGGGGGAGGGGGGAGGGGTTTGTGCAGGGAGAAGGGTGCAACAATGAATGAATGGAATTCCAAAATCTCTGTAGATGTTCATTGAAATGAAAAATAAACAAACTAAATGAATAAAAAAAAAAGAAAAAAAAACACACCTACATTCATTTTGCTTTTGATTGTAATTCTAAACATTGGTAATAAAAGCTGAATCTATTCTGAAAACAGCTAGGATGAAAACACGTTAATCTTCTCTCATTTCTACTGCTTTATTAGTGTTGTTTTCATTATTATTAACTACCATCAAGTTGGCCTGGAAGCAGGAACGGCATCCACTTCCGAAATGGCTTGCCTCCAGAAACTCTATGTACGAACAGTGCTCAGGCCGTTCGTTCATAGGGTCGCTATGAGTCGTCTACGACTCAACGGCACCAAATAACAACAACAACAACAACCATCAAGTTGAACAGGACATACAATGACACAAGGACAACACACAGAAACCTTGCCCTATCCTCCTGCAGCGTCATAATCGCCACTATACATGGTTGTAGTCTCTGCTTCAGTTAATCTCACTGAGAATCTTCCTCTCTTTCACCGACCCTCTACTTTTCCAAGGACTGGTGTCACTTGACAACATGACCATAGTGTGTAAGGATGTGAGTTACTATCTTACTTCTGGTAAGAGGAGCATCCTGGCCACATTTCTTCCAAGATAGAGATAGGTCTTCTTTCTTTTTTTTTAATTAATTTTAATGAATGGAGATTTTGGATTTCCATTCATCCACTGTTGCACTTTTCTCCCTGCCCACCCCTCCCCATGAAAGATTTTTTTAAAAAGAACCAAAAAACTTACAGCTGTTGTTATTATGTGCTTTCAAGTTGGAAAAGACTCACAACTGACCCTCCAATGAGTTTTCAGAGACTGTAAATCACACAAGGAGAATGACCATCTTTCTCCCTCAGAGCAACTGGTGGGCTTGAACCATATGCCTCTCAGTAGACAGCATAACTTCTTTACCACTAGGGCCCAGAGCTCTCTTTTTAAAAATCAGCCTGTAAAAATCTTATGAAGATTTTTGATGCAGGAGAGTATTACCCAAACCCCTGTGATGGGAAGGCACTCAAAATAAGCCTGGGAAAGTGCAGCCTCCTCTGAGCACCTACCCACTGTTACAAGTCAATTCCAACTCATAATGGCCCTGCATGAGTTTCCTGAGGCTGTAAATCTTTACTGTCTCTCTTTCTCCCAGGAAGCAGCCCGTGGATCCAAAGGTTAACAGCCGGATAGGTTATGCATTATGCCACCAGACTCCTTCCTCAAAGTACAACTGTACCAGCAGGGATTGAGGAAGACTGTAGCAATTACGTCCTTTTGCCAACGTGGCATGATTCAACATGAGAAGAAACACCTGCAAACATTAATTAATCCTTTGAAACAAAGTCCACGTCTAGGAAAATTGGAAGTAGTCCTAAATGTAACCGTGGCCAATGGAGAAGCTCAATGTCATCAGTTAGAACAAGGACAGGACAAAGTAGGGAACTGAGCATCAATTGCTCACATGCAGGTTCAAAATGAAGCTCAGGGAAATTCAAACATGTGCAGGAGAGCTAATGTATGCCCTGGAGAATCTCCCACTTCAGTTCAGACATTATCTTAAAAAGCAGATTTGATGCACTGAACGTTAATGACTGAAGACCAGATTAGTTGAGATGACATCAAGCCCATCATACATGAAGAAAACACAAGGTTGTAAAAAGCAAAGCCAGGCCCCCCTCCCCGGCCCTCCCCCTCCCCCCGGGTGCTTGTTCCATGTCTGTGTGACCGGTCCCAGGGGTAGAGTCCAGGCCCGAAGTGGGGCGGGCCGGCGGCAGCGGCTGGAGTGAGAGGCGGCGGCGGCGCGGGCACCCGGCCCCCCAGCGGGAGGATGAAGCGGCGGAACACCGACTGCAGTAAGCTCCGCCGCCCCCTAAAGCGGAACCGAATTACCGAGGGCATCTACGGCAGCACCTTTTTGTACCTGAAATTCCTGGTAGTGTGGGCACTTGTGCTTCTGGCAGATTTTGTCCTGGAGTTCAGGTTTGAATACCTGTGGCCATTCTGGCTTTTCATCAGAAGCGTCTACGATTCCTTCAGATACCAGGGACTGGCCTTCTCAGTATTTTTTGTTTGTGTAGCGTTCACGTCAAATATAATATGTCTACTCTTCATCCCCATACAATGGCTTTTTTTTGCTGCCAGCACATATGTATGGGTTCAGTATG